CTTCCTTGGCCTCACCTGTTCCCAGAAGTAACAACTCTAAACAGCAAGATGCAAGTGACTTCCAATTGCTTTTACTGAGCAGATGAGCAGATGAACTGGGCCCAGAAAAAACATGGTTTGGGCTTGTTGAGATGCTAGAGCAGTATTTGTACCCTCCCAGCCAGAAATGTTAGATAATGAAGTAAAGGATGGCCTGTGCTGAGCTCCCCAGGAATCAAAAAAGGACCCAACAGAAACCACCCTTCTTTTCCACCCCACCTCCAAAACCCAATCCCAACCCTAGCCATAAACTACCTCCAAGCCTTACGTTTCTTTCCATTAATGTGATCCAGGAAGTTGATGGAGTCCTTCACCACACAGTCACAGACATTACAGTAATATCTAATAAGAAACAACACATGGGTCAAATCTGGTTTTAAAGATGTTCCTTTTTAGAAGTTTTATTACTACATCTCCACAAAGACTTAGCTTTCAGGAGATGGAGTAACCATCTCTAAGTCCCAGAATGAGGCAATACCCTTCTGGTATTCCTCTCCCTTGTATTTTCCTCCCCATTTGTATCAGGATTAGTCTGTGTAACCAATAAACTATGTCAAAAATATGTCACTTTTCAGAGATTAGGCTATTAAAAAAACAAAAAAGGGCCTTTTTATGGATCATTTGTTCTGGGAAAACCAGTTGTTTTATTGAGTTGCCTTATGCATAGGCCTGTGGGGCAAAGAATGTAGGCCTCCAAACCATAGGCATGTGAGAAAGCTTGGAAACAGATCCTCCAGCTCCATTTGAGACGCAAAAGAATGCAGACTTACCTAGCCAACTCCTTGATTGCAGCTTCATGAGAGACCTGACCCAAAACCACCACTCCCAAATTTCTTAGACAAAGAAACTGAATTATTTGTTGTTTATGCTAAGCTTTGGATTAATTTATTAACTTACTTAATGATAACTGAAAAGAATGGCAACCATGGGTTTATTAAGCAGCTCATTACTACAGTGTTGCCCTCTTGCCAGAAAACCTAACTGGACAAAAAAGTAGTGTTGGGCAAAAGGATGATGACCTCTTGTGGGACCCTTCTTCCTTCAGGCTTGGTCTAGAAAGAAAGTGTATGATTAGGTAATCCATAACTCCTACAGCCTTTGCAGCTAGTCTGGAACTTCAACCCCCTTTCTTCACCTTAACAACTCCTAGGCTCCACTCTAGCTCCACCTAATTTCTCTCTCCCAGGTATGTCATCAGTCCCTTTTTTCATCTCTTCCTCTAACAGAACAAATAATCCCTTTTAAAATGTTAAGTGGTAGCTGAAGTGTCAATATGAAAAAGCACACAAAGTGACTACTCTAGCTTGTAGTCTCCAACTTGAGACCTTGGAGGACAAAGAAAAAATATCTCTTAGAATTACAGGCAAGAAGAATGAAATCCTGGGACCAGGGACCACCCTCTCCCCATCCCCCATAATACTTAGTACAATCTACATAGGTAGTTTATTAGCCCTGCAGCCCTCTTGGCTGCAGAGAAAGATGAAAAGCCACTCACCCTCCCATCTCAGACTGTGGGGTGGTCTTGGTAATGACAATTGTCTTCCCAAGTTTGGATTCCAGGTCCACTTTATAGTCCCTGTGTCGCAGAAGCTCTCGCTTAACTGGCTGCACTGGTTTTCCTGAAACACAATAAAGGTGGAAGTCCTTTTAATATTATAGCTCCTCTTAGCACATCCAGGGCAATCTATTAATAAATCAATAGATAAGTAAGAGAAAAAAGTATAGTTTCTCAAGCAAAAAGGAAAAAAAATGCATAAACCCCAAAATTCAGGTCTACTTTCATTTATTTTCTGATTCCTGAGCAACAGGACACAGTAAGTACTAAAAGCGGAAGCTGGGGAAAAATCACAACACAGGGAAAAAATGAGCCAGCCCCAACTCTCCACAGCTTTTCTCTACTTTAAAGTCAGCAAAGTCAAAAAGCAATGTTTTCCATTTATTAACTGAATGGAAGTTCTGAATTTTTACTAAACACCTTTTCAAAAGAGGAGCAAGGTCACTCAGTAATGCTTTCAACCTGATATCCTAAGCATAACACAGAATAAACTTTCTGAGAACTGGGTCAAGTTTTTTAAAAGAGGACCAACATATATATGCCTGTTACATGTCAAGAGCTATTTACACATGTTACATAAAAACTAAAAGAACTGTCATGTGCAAGGTTGCATGGAGTAAAAAGGAAAAAAGAATGTACAAGTTTGAAAAACAGATGACAAAATAAGACTTTTCCCCAAAGTACAATCCCTATGGAGGAGAGTACCTCTAACTTCCTGACTTCGTACAAGGCACACAAAAACAGCATTACTCAGCACTGAAACATCAGTTCCATGAAAAATACCATTGCTGAGACTACACTAGAGGGTCTTGACTGGCCCAGGAATCCTCCCCCCTTTAAGAAATTCCAAAGGTAAGAGTGGAGTCACTAATAGCAGTAATGAAATACTCCACATCTCTAACGATTCCACTTTGTACTTAGAAAAGCACTAAATGAGGCAAGCAAAGGGAGAGCAAGGAATGAGAGGGCAACAGAGCTGAAAAGCACCTCAAAACCATTTCAGCCCCCCTCCTCGCTCTCATTTCATAAACGTAGAAACTCGGGAGCAGGGAGATAACACTCTGCCTGAGTTACAATGGCTAAGAGAGCAGCGCATTTCAACTCCCCACACTCTTTCCAGTCACTGTATCACTTCTATGATGCCCTTAACCCTGGGTAGAGCAAGCACCCACCATCCTTCTTTTCTCTTTCTTCCGTGAGCCTCTTCTCAGCGAGTTTTTCGTATTCATCTTTATCCCACTTTCGGCGAAAGTCCAAGTTTTTTGTCTGTGGGGAAAAAAAGCGCTCAAGATCCGTCGCCAATCATGTCCAGACCCCTACAGAAACTGAGGGGAAATGCGTCCTCGCCGCAAAGGTGGCCCCAGGACCTTTTGAAAGAGAAACCTCTCTCGACCGCACCAAGTGGCTGAGGTAGCCTCAGGAACCTAACCCGAGAAACCTCCGCGATTCCACTGAAGGGGGGAGTTCTCGAACCCAAATCCTGGGATCTCGAGGAGGCGTCGGGAAGGCAGTGTGGTGCAGCAGGTTGTCTCTATTCAGCGCCGAGAAGCCACTTCCCACCCCCAAGAACCCCCTCCTCACACACAAGACCTACCCCGCTGCCCGACGCCATCTTCACAGCGAAGTGAATGGCAAGGCGGAAAATGCCGTAAAAAGCGTCCTGGTGCCGTAAAGCAAGACGGCCCTCCAGTAAGCTTATAGTCTCGTGTTCTAACAGAGCTAAACACTGGAGAGATTCTAAAACAGGCTTGTTAGCCCCGCCCCCGCACCTAGGAGATAGCGCAGGCGCAAGAGAAGTATGAAGCAACACGGAAGTAAAGGCGCCTGCAAACGTTTTGTTGCCGTGACTTACAAAACGAGCTTTGAAGGAAGGGCTAATAGATTTAATTCAACTATTTTACAAACGATGAAACTGGTTCGGAAACAGTGGGCTCCGATGTAGTCTAATCAACCTTGCTTGTACTGCCAAGAATTTCTAAACTTCCTTTAAGGTTGACGTATATTACAGGCTCTAATGCATCCCCTTCACTTGCATGAACTGGCGATATAGCTCTAAGCTAACCTGAAGTGTTTCCAAAAGCTGCACCTTTCCCAACACACATATGAAAAGCACATTCTCCACTTGAGCTCTTTTTGAAGCAATTCTATTGCTTTTTGGTTAAATCACTATCTCCATCAATTGGGAAATATCAGTCATTCCATCCGAAGGGCTCAATTTAAACAATGTGATTAGACTTGGGAAGGCCAGTTATTAGTAACACTCTGAGTGAAGCACTCTGGCAGATGACTCGCTATTTGTTGATTTTTTAGTGATATAACAGTACCTCCAAGTTGAGGGAAGGAGGAGAAAAAGAGGGAGGAACTGTGGCTGCTCCTTTTACTGAAGAATCAACCCAGGAAGGTCACTTCTACTTCACAGAATTATCCAGAGTACACTCCAGGATCTTCTATACTCTATGCAACCAACACCTTGATGACAAATTACTCAAATCATTTAACATTTTATTTAACATATTATCCAACCAATTCTATAACAGCCTCCATAGCAGCATGTGCACTAGTCAGAGCTGTGATTCTGGCACAGGAAATAGTCTCTAAAACCTCAGAAGATTGTATTCCCACCTTGTCAAGTCACCTATTATGTTCAGTGTTCAAGATTATTAAACAGATGGCTCCACCCTGCTATTACTATCAGTGGATGGCCCCAGAGAGACGCCAAATCAATATGGGTACTACCATACCCTTGGGATAGCATCCCTGTCCTCAAAACAAAGCAGAAAGTAGCCATTGCCTCTCCTTGCTGCCTTCCAAAAACTCCTGGATAGGTCTGATTGTGGACAAATCCCCCAGAATTTACTTTTGTTATCTGCAGTGGAAGGCTAAGTTCTACCTTCTAATCTCGAGGGTTCAGAATCCTCAGCCTGAGGTGACTTTCCGAGAGCCTTGCTCATAGCAACCATCTCACCACCTCTTGAAGGCATTCAATGGCACGTCAAATTTGCCTCTGCAGCAAAAGCATGTCTCTTTCACATAACAGCATCTGCACCCATGCAGAATAACTGCTTATGCTAGCCCAAGAGTCCTCAGGGCCGGCTCGGCACCTGTGGCTCAAGTGGCTGGGGTGTCAGCCACATACACCTAAGGTGGCAGGTTTGAATCCAGCCCAGGCCCGCCAAACAACAATGATGGCTGCAACAACAACAACAACAAAAAAAAAATAGCCAGGTGTTGTGGCAGGCACCTGTGG